AGAGGTACAAATAGCCAGTAAATAAATGAAGACGTGTTCAGCTTCCCTGGTTACAAAAGAGATGCAAATCAAAACAACACTTAGATTTCATCTCACCCGTTAGAATGGTTATAATCAAGGGTAATAACAACAACAAATGCTGGCAAGGATGTGGTGAAACAGGAACCTTTATACATTGATGGTGGGAATGCAAATTAGTACAACCACTACAGAAAGCAATATGGAGATTCCTCAAAAAAACTAGAGCTAGAACTGCCATATGATCCAGCGATATTGCTTCTGTGCATCTACCGAAAAGAATGTTAAGACAGAATACAGTAGAGACCCCTGTACTCTGATGTTCATTGCAGCACTGTTCACAATAGCCAAGTTCTGCAAACAACCCGATACCCTACAACTGATGAATGGATCATGAAATTGTGGTATATATACACGATGAAGTATTACTCAGCCACAAGGAATAATGACATGGGGTTTGAAGGTAAATGGATGAATTTAGAGAACATTATGCTAAGTGAAGTTAGTCAGGATCACAAACACAAAAGATGCATGTTTTCTCTCATACATGGAAGATAGATCCAAAGATAAACATATACACAAAAACCAAGCTGATCATATACAAACTCAGATGTAGAACACATTTGTAACAGTGGAACTACTCTATGGAACTCGGGGAAAGAGGGAAAGGAAAAGAGAATGATAGAGCATAAATAACATCACATACCACAGGATGTGAAGGTAAAGGATATGAGGATGTGTATTGAAAACTGTTGAAAAACAGAGGGTGGGAGGTAAAGGGGTAAGGGAGAATATTTGAAGGGATTGAACAGACCAAAGTAAAGCACTCCCACAGAGGGCACACATTGAGACACCCCATTGAATGTCAACTCAAACATTAATAATGACAGCCAGGACTGTAAAATAGGCATTTTGTGTGCAGTGGGAGGGGAGGTATGAATGAAAGGGGAGGGCAGAGGGTGAAGGAATAAGATTAAGGTGATGGTATATGGTTGATGGACTTCATACCCCTATGCAAAACAGAACTAAAAAGCCTCCTGCAATTTCTTTAAGTGGGGTAGTTAGAGGGCTGATGGGGAGAGTTATGGGGGCAATGTAATGAATGTACAATATAAGACTAATTGAAATTGCTGCTATGAATCCCACCTGTGTAATGAATATATCCTAATAAAAATTTATTAAAAACACCCCCAAAACATTTTTATTAGAATATGATAGTTATATAGGGGGTTTTATTGTAGCATTTCCATGTATTATATATATAATCATTATATATATTACATATAGTATATATATTATATATCCATATAATATCCCAGTTTGGTTCATCCCTGTCATTATTTTCCCCCCTACTCCATTCCCCTGTTTAAGATAACTTTAACAGGTTTCAGTGTTCTGGGTTCATACTTGTATAGGAAGTACCTCAGCCTCCTTTACTCTCTTCATTTACCTTCCCCTCTCACTGGTGCCTCCCTTAACATGACCTGTTTTACATTTTTATCCTTCATGATTTAAGTGTTTGTTGTTCAGTGGGAATTTTGCCTTGAAATGTATTGTGCTTAAATCAGTTGAACCCCATATCCACTATTCTTTCTCATACTTTCCCCCTACCCTCTGTTCAACAGTTTTCAGTGTGTTTCATTGTGCCTTGTTCTTACACAGATCTGATGTATTTATTATTATTCACTCTTTGTTATTCTTTTCTTCTTTCCCTCTTCATTTAGTCTCCTCTTCCAGAGCCACTTTTGGAAACATGTTTTGTATATGTTTATATGTATATATGATAATGCTTGTATTTATATTAGGTCTATCTTCCACATATAAGAGAAAACATGGAATCTTTGTCTTTCTGAACCTGGCTAACTTCACTTAAGATGATGTAATCCTATTCCATCCATTTAACTGTGAAAACAAAATTTCATTCTTCTTTACAGATGAATAAAATTCTGTTGTATATAAATACAACATTTTTGTAATCCATTCTTCATTTGTGGGGCATCAGGGCTGCTTCCATAGCTTGACTATTTCTTTTTTTGTCAGCACTCAGGGCCTCATGCTTGCTAGGCAGGCACTTTGACCGCTTGAGCCCCTCTGTCAACCCTTTTTATTTGTGATGGGTTTTTTCAAGATAGGGTCTCAAGAACTATTTGTCTGGGGTAGCTTTGAACTGTGATCCTTCTGATTTCCACCTCCTGAGTAGCTATAATTACAGGCACAAGCCATTGGCACCTGGTAATAGCTTGGCTGTTGTGAATAATGCTGCAATAAACATGGGTGGGCAGGTGTCTTATTTTAACCTGATTTATATTCCTTTTGGTATATATCTTGGAGTGGTATTGCCAGATCATATGGCAGTTCTATTTTTAGTTTTTGTAGAGCCTCCATAGTGGTTGTACAAATTTACATTCCCACCATCTGTGTATGAGGGTTCCTTCCTCTCCCCCCACCCCTGAATCCTTGCTAACATTTGTTGTTGTTTGTGTTCTTGATGCTAGCCATTTTAACAGGAATGAGGTAGACTCTTAGTATGGTTTTTATTTGCATTTCCTTTATGGCCAGGGATGTTGAGCATTTCTTCACGAGCTTTTTGTCCATTTGTACTTCCTCCTTTGAAAAAGTTCTGCTCAAAGGATCTTAATATCAGACCCCAAACTCTAAAGTTGGTACAGGAAAGAGTTGGAAATACTTTGGAACTAATAGGTATAGGCAAAGACTTTCTCAATGGAACCCCAGCAGCTCAGCAACTAAGAGCATAGACAAATGGGACTTCATAAAACTAAAAAGCTTCTGCTCAACAAAAGAAATGGTCTCTAAACTGAAGAGAACATCCACAGAGTGGGAGAAAATATTTGCCAGCTACACATCAGACAAAGGACTGATAACCAGAATATATAGGGAACTCAAAAAACTAAACTCGCCCCAAATTAATGAACCAATAAAGAAATGGGCAAATGAACTAAACAGAACTTTCTCAAAAGAAGAAATTCCAATGGCCAAAAAACACATGAAAAAATGCTTACCATCTCTAGCAATAAAGGAAATGCAAATTAAAACCACACTAAGATTCCACCTCACCCCGGTTAGAATAGCCATCATCAGCAACACCACTAACAACAGGTGTTGGTGAGGATGAGGGGAAAAAGCAACCCTTTTACACTGCTGGTGGGAATGCAAACTAGTACAACCACTCTGGAAAAAAATTTGGAGGCTTCTTAAAAATCTAAACAGAGATCTGATATGATGCAGCAATACCACTCTTGGGGATATACCCAAAAGACTGTGACACAGGTTACTCCAGAGGCACCTGCACACCCATGTTTATTGCAGCACTAGTCACAATAGCCAAGTTATGGAAACAGCCCCACTACTGACGAATGGATCAAGAAAATGTGGTACTTATACACAATGGAATTTTATGCAGCCATGAAGAAGATGAAATGTTATCATTTGCTGGTAAATGGATGGAATTGAAGAACATCATTCTGAGTGAGATTAGCCTGGCCCAAAAGACCAAAAATCGTATATTCTCCCTCATATGCGGACATTAGATCAAGGGCAAACACAACAAGGGGATTGGACTTTGACCACAAGATAAAAGCGAGAACACACAAGGGAGATATGAGGATAGGTAAGACACCTAAAAACCTAGGTAACATTTGTTGCCCTCAACACAGAGAAACTAAAGCAGATACCTTAAAAGCAACTGAGGCCAATAGGAGAGGGGGACCAGGAACTAGAGAAAAGTTTAGTTCGAGAAGAATTAATTTAGAAGGTAACACACATGCACAGGAAATCAATGCAAGTCAACTCCCTGTATAGCTATCCTTATCTCAACTAGCAAAAATGCTTGGTCCTTCCTATTATTGCTTATATGCTCTCTTCAACAAAATTAGAGATAAGGGCAAAATAGTTTCTGCCTGGTAGCAAGGGGGTAGGGGGGGAGAGGGAGGGGGCAGGGGGAGGGGTGGAGAAATGACCCAAACATTGTATGCACATATGAATAAAAGAAAAAAAATTAAAAAAAAAAGAAAAAGCTCTGCTCAGTTGCCCATTTCTTCATTGGGTCATTGAATTTTTGCAAGTTTAGTTTTTTGAGTTCCCTATATATTCTGGTTATTAATCCCTTGTCAGATGTATAGCTGGCAAAGATTTCTCCCATTCTGTGGGTGGTCTCTTCAGTCTGATGACCATTTCCTTTGCTGTGCAGAAGCTTTTTAGTTTCATGTATCCTATTTGTCCATCCTTTCTCTTAGCTGCTGAGCCATTGGAATCCTGTTTGGGAAATCATTGGCTATGCTGTGTCTCCAGTGTGTTACCTGTTCTTTCCTGCAGAAGTTTCAAACTTTTAGGCCTTATATTAAGGTCCTTGATCTATTTTGAATTGATATTTGTTTTTATCCTGCTTTTAATTTTAAACAATGCTGATGTGGAACGCATTTTCCTCTAAATTTATTTTTCTTATTTTTTTACTTTGTAAAAGACAGCTGGCCTCAAACTTGAGATCCTCTTGCCTCAGCCTCTGAGTGCTGGAATTACGGAGGTGTGCCATCATGTTTGGCTATTTTTTTGCATTTGATTTATGAATCGTTGTGCTGTTTCCTATGTTCTATAGCTTTGATTTAAAAAAGTCCTCTCTAGGTCAGACATGGTGGCACATGCCTGTTTTCCCAGCTATGGGGGAATCATAGGTAGGAGGATCATAGTCTGAGGCTGGTCTGGGCAAAAGTATGAGATTTTATCTGAAAAATAACTAAAGCAAAAAGGGCTGGGGTGTGACTCAAGTAGTCAAGGACTTGCCTAGCAAGTGCAAGGCCCTAAGTTCAAAACCTCAGTACCACCAAAAAGAAAAAATGTTGTCTATCCCTGATATAGATTAAAAAGTCTTCAAATTAATTTTAATGGTTTGTTTAAACAAATATTGAACTTCAGCTCTTAATTGTTATACTTTAATTGATCTGACATTTTACTTGATTTTTTTTCAGGACTAATAAATTTCTTATTTGGGTATATCGCATTATATTTTCAGAAGAATATGAATATACAAGACATATTATCACCATAATATATATTTATCCTATGATCATACATGTATGGCCAATGGCAAGAGAGTTAAATGTGTCAGCACTGATACATATAAACTACTATTTTGTAAGTTTATATGTATTAGAAGCAGCATTGAAGGTACTGTTTAAGTCCTGCCAGGGGTGTGTGTGGGGGGTGATAACAGTGTGGGAGGAGGTGGTGGGAAAAGGGTGTAAGAGGGTGAATATGGTACAGCAAATACTGTGCACACATGTATGTAAATGCAAAAATGATACCTGTTGAAATTATTCCAGGACTGGGGGGAGGGAGGATAAAGGAGAATGGTGGAGGGGGTGAATTTAAGTATGATACATTATAAGAACTTTTGTAAATGCCCAGTGTAACCCTACCAGCACAATGATAAAAATAAATTAAAAAAATAGAAATGTGTTCTATCGGAAGAACAATTCAGATATTTTAAATCTATTTTTATCAGATTATGAAAATAACTTGATAACAGAAGCCATTTATTATTATAGTTGATGGGGTCTTGGAATATTAGTGGCCCTTTTGAATTTTCTGAGTTTAACAATGAAATCAGATGCTGTGCACAATGAGTCAAGTCTGTAATCCTAGCTGCTCAGGAAGCGAAGAACAGGAGGATCCTGGTTCAAGGCCAGCCTTGGAGTGGGGGAGGGTGGGTAGAGGGAGTGAATAAAAAGTTCACAAGACCTCATCTTGACCAATGTCTGAGTGTGGTGGCACATACCCATAATCCCAGCCATAGGGGGGAAGAATAAACAGGAGGATCATGGTCCAGGCTGGTAGAGTGGCTGAAGTGTTAGGGCGCCTGCCCAGCAAGCAGAAGGCCCTAAGTTCAACTCACACTACTGAAAAAGAAACCAGTGTAATAGACATCAGATAAGTACCATAAAGTAAACAGAATCTCAAGGATTAGGCAAATAAAATTAAAAATCCAGATATAGATGTTTCCCTCAAGTGCTTTCTGTAATGATACAAGAAATAAATAAGCAACTAAAACCAAAGTGGTTGTCATGCTGTGAGATCTACTTGTTAGGATAAATGCCTCAAGGAGAGTTACCTGCTTTATTGTTTTCATACTTCATTTTAATGGTGTTGTGATGAACCTGTTAATTATTTTATCAAATTCTTGGTTTTGGCATTTCAGCTTCATTATAGATTACTTACTTTGAATGACATTTTGTTGTTGGAGATTAAAAAGAATTTGGAGGGAATTTTAAATGAATAACTTTTGGAATATAACTTATTTGTAATTGAAGACTTAACTGTCAATTTTAAAGATTCCCACCCACCTCCTTGTCAAACGTGAAATTCCATGGTGAAAACCCTTTGAGTAATGAATATACACTTGGAAAATGAAGGACAGGAATGTAAAACAAGTCCTATAAGTGGATGTAATGGGAGGCGAGGGTAAAGGAGGATTAAAATGGTTGATGTACTTTATACACTTGTATGAAAACAGAAAAATGAAAAAAAGATTTCCATCTTGTATAGAATTACCACAATGAATTTCCCTTGTATTATTAATGTATGAAAATTCAAAACTAAAATTAAAAAATTAAAAATTAAGTCAGACTGTTCAACTTGACCATGAGCCTGGCTCACTACCAAACCCCTCTTATCAGTTTCCTGACCTGCAAAATGGGTCCTGGAATAGTTCCTACTTCACAGAGTATTTGTGAGGGTTGAATGAGTTAGCACAGAAAAAAACACTTAGTTCCTACCCCATACAAAGTACTCAATCACTTGTAATTGTGCTGCTGCTGATGACATTTTATGGCAATTTTCAGGTATGCACAAAATCAGTCAATAATATAATGAAAGCCCATGCAATGAACATCCAGTTTTTACACTTACCAAAATTGTGTCATTATTGTCTCACTTGTCTATCCCTCTTTTCTCTATTTGTTGTTATTAGAGTATTTAAAGAAAAGATCCCTCTACATCAATATATCTTTGTTATGAAATGATATATATTCTATTTGTTTTTAAACAGTTACTAATTTTGAAAAGGAAATATTTTCATCAACATTGGAATACTTTGGAATTTTTAATTGTGATTGTTGGACTCATTGATATCTTTTGCATATACTTTGTCAAATTGAGACCAGACAACTTGTTTCTTATCCAGTTTACAGTGGTGATAGGATATTTAAGAATAATTAGATTTCTTCCTGTCTTCAAGGTAAGACTTTGTATTTTAAAATATTGGGTTTTTTTTTTAACATTGTATATTAAATGATTTAAGAAACCTCACTGTTTTGAGAGCCATTAGGCTGTCTCCTTTTCTGAAATGTTCTTCCAATACTTATTTGCTTGATCATCTCCTTCAGGTCACTGTTCAAATCTTACCTTGACAGAACCCTTCTTCAACTACCTGATGTAAAATAGAAACCCACCCTCCATGTCTCCAGCTTTGCATTCCACCCTTGGCTCCTCCTCCCCCGCTTTACTTATATTTTTCTCCACAGAGCACTTACCATTATTTATTCATAAGGCAGGCTCTTCTGTTTTGGTCATTGATATAACCTACAGCTTTTGTACAGTGCCTGGCATATAATTAAGTACTTAGCGAATAACTGTTGAGTGAATGAATGGAAATATGGATGCCACTAGAAGCAGGGTGGCCCAGAAACAAGTTCTTCAAATTTCAGGAAATTTTTTGCATATCATCTAATCTGTGTACAAATGAAAGTATTTTCTCTACAGCCCCATCCTCACCTGCCAAAGAAATTTAGTTTCACCGTGGCCATCGATCTCCTTAATAATTAACTGCTCCTTCTTTCCATGGCTCTGGTTTGAATTCCAAAGTAGATTTTTGTATTTTTACTCTCAAGTTTTACACCTCCTTTCTCTTTCCAATGAGGGAGATTCATTGCGTAAGTGTTTTATTTGGGAGCTTCAGGAGATTTCATTTGCCACTCTATTTTTTAAAATTTTTACTATATCAAAAAAGTCTATTAGTATATATTGAAATGGTGGAGGCTTAGAAGTTAAAAGAAATTACTGCAAACCCAGGTAGCAAAATGCACACATTAGAATCTTCTACTGGGCAGTCAGTGTGGCTCCTGTGGTAGATTGCCTGCCTAGAAAGAGTGAGACCTTGAGTTCAAACCCTAGTATGACCAAGACAAAAAATAAAAAAATAAGAGAGAGAGAAAGAGAGAGAGAGAGAGAGAGAGAGAGAGAGAAAGAGAATGAGAGAATCGTCTACCTAGTCTCTAAGAAATTCAATGTTTTAAAAATAGTTATTTTCAAGGCAGAATTATTTGAATGCCCAACTTATGTTTGTAGGCTTTCTTTTTGTTCCTTCCTTTAATCTATGTTAGTGTTACCAAACTTCAGTGTTAATAAGAATTGCCATATGGAGTTGTATATGCAAAATGTGCTTTAAGGAGTAATTTGATTCTATGATCTTTGCCTTATGAGCTGAGTCTAGACCTAAGAGTTCTTATTAGGTATAACTCCACATAATACAAATGATTCTAGACATAAAGATACATAGTGAGGCTAAGACAAAATGGAAGATAAGACATTTCTTTAGGTAATTAGTTTTTATACAGATATAGTATACACATGAATATAAGACAATTATTTTAGAAGTGATGCTCTGAAATGTATTTAGTGCAATAAAGACTTGAAGATGTATTATTTTGGAAGCCAAATCTATTTAGATTGTGGCCAGGAATTCTGAACCATATGCCTTTTATATCTCAATGAAGTATATTTAAGGGATCAATATTACTGTGGTTGATCAGTAACTGTTTGTCAGGACCTGTGTAAAGCCCTTGACATACATTATCCCATTAAGCTACTGTGATAGTTGTGACCATGTGAGGTAGATGTGGCTTCAAAAAGAAACAAATCGACATTGGAAATCATGGAACAATATTGGAGATCTTTACTCCAGCTGCTCCAAAGGTCAGCTTAGTGGGCACTAGTGCACCGTGGAGGTCCTCTTTAAACAGCTCTCCCTATGCCTAAAGCTCACAATCAAATTCGCAGTGAAAAAAATGTCACTTCTCTCTCTGCTCTTGGAATTCTTCCACTATGATGCTGTTTTTCGGTTTACTTTCTTCTTCTTTGTTACCAGTCCCTTGCCATCTGCCCCTGTGCTCTGATTCCCCATGGGAAACCCCCTTGCTGTGTCATTGACTGTGTTTGCTTTTGAGAGGTGGGTAGCTCCAGTGGAATATTATTATCCTCATTTTACATGGAGCCCTTAAAGTCACTAAGTAATTTGCTCAAGGTCACAGAGATGGTGAATTAGGAGAGCTGGTATTCAAACCTAGACAGGTTTATATTTAAAATTTCATTCTCAAAAATCCCTACACCAACCTGCCTCAGCCTACAATTAGAGAAATTTAGAACTAAAAAGGATCTTAGGTATCCTAGGTCCCTTATCTTACAAGTGAAGAGGCTGAGGTGCAGAGATGTTTTATTCAGTTTGTGATTATTACCCATATTATGGAACCACCACTTTTGTTTCCTGAGGAGGAGAGGGAAAACAGGGTGCTAGAAACTCCATTTAATGCTGCAAGGGCAGTTCTTCACAGAGCTCTAATTTGTTTAGAAATTAGATATCATACTTGAGTGTGCATAGAATCAGCTGAGGACTTATTAAACACTGATTCTTGGTATCCCCCTCCCTCCCAGAGCATCTGATTCAGCAGGTCTGAGGTGGGTGGGACCTAGTGCTTGCATTGCTAACAAATGTTGGGATGCTGCTATTGTTGCCTTAGAGATGACACTTTGAGAACCTCTACCTTAGAAGGTACTTGTCCTCGTGAAATTTATAGTTCTTTTTTTCTCCCCATTGTTCCAGATAGTAATACCATTACTGATAAATATTGTAGAAGATCAGGTAAAAAAGCGCCTGAGCTTGATGTACAGCATTACAAAAGGCTACGTCAAAAGTCAAGAAGATGCCAAGCTTTTAATAAAACAGATTTCCACCCGTGAATCAATACATCAGGTAAGAAACAAGCAATGACATTTTTGTGAAAAAAAAAACAACTCCACTTTTCTTAAGGGAAAACTAGTCTTTCATTTAAGATTAGTTCTATGTGCATTTGACCAAACAGACAAATTTTAATAGTTGGAAAGGATTCAGTTGTTTATTGTGTTATATGTGGTGCTACAGAGGAGAATTGTCTCTATCTTTAATTTTAGCAATTATCACCAAACTCATTTGTGATCTTCATAGCAGATCATAAGTGATTTATGTACTTAGTGCAGAATAGGGCAGAGAATGTGTCTGTCTCTGTGACACACTATTTTTTTTATTGTTTTATTATTCATATGTGCATACAAGGCTTGGGTCATTTCTCCCCCCTGCCCCCACCCCCTCCCTTACCACCCACTCCACCCCCTCCCTCTCCCCCCCAACCCCCTCAATACCCAGCAGAAACTATTTTGCCCTTATCTCTAATTTTGTTGAAAAGTGAGTATAAGCAATAATAGGAAGGAACAAGGGTTTTTGCTGGTATGGATAGCCAAACAGGGAGTTGACTCACATTAATTTCCTGTGCATGTGTGTTACCTTCTAGGTTAATTCTTTTTGATCTAACCTTTTCTCTAGTTCCTGGTCCCCTTTTCCTATTGGCCTCAGTTGCTTTTAAGGTATCTGCTTTAGTTTCTCTGCGTTAAGGGCAACAAATGCCAGCTAATTTTTTAGGTGTCTTACCTATCCTCACCCCTTCCTTGTGTGCTCTCGCTTTTATCATGTGCTCAAAGTCCAATCCCATTGTTGTGTTTGCCCTTGATCTAATGTCCACATATGAGGGAGAACATACGATTTTTGGTCTTTTGGGCCAGGCTAACCTCACTCAGAATGATGTTCTCCAGTTCCATCCATTTACCAGCGAATGATAACATTTGTTCTTCTTCATGGCTGCATAAAATTCCATTATGTATAGATACCACATTTTCTTAATCCATTCGTCAGTGGTGGGGCATCTTATCTGTTTCCATAACGCGGCTATTGTGATGTGACACTCTCTAAAAGTGAATTTAACAGGATGAGGCATGGTAGCATACTTGTAATCTCAGCTACTCAGGAGGTGGATATTGGGAGGATGGCAATTCAAAGCCAGCCTAGGGAAAAAGTTAGTGAGACACCATCTCAACTAATAAACTGGCCATGGTGGTGTGTGTCCGTCATTGTAGCTATGCAGGAGGCTTAAGAAAGAGGATCATGATCCAGGCTACTCAAGGCAAAGACAGAGACATAAGCTGTAGAGTACCTGGCTAGCAAGTGCAAGGCCCTGAGTTCTAATCCCAGTACTTTCATAAAAAGTAAATTCAACATAATTTATTGGGAAAAAGGCTTTATGGAAGAGTTGAGACTTGAACAAGGATTCACCTAATGAGTGGGTCTTCAGTGGTGAGGAAGAAAGGAGAAGAGAGCAGAGACTTGACAGTAAATGCTTAAAATCCTGTGTGGAGTGGTGAGAGGTAGTATTTTTTTTTAAAGAATCATTCAAGCCCCTCATCTTTTCCAGGTAGTCTATGGTAAGTACCAAGCAGACAGTTCAGAGAGGGAGTGAATCACCTCTGAGCAGGTTCCAGTCTTGTCTGATCCAAACCACTCTGCAATTTAGAAATGTTCCTAAGAGGGCTATTTTAAATTTTTTGAAATTGTGGTATTTTATTTTTGACTTGTCATTATTAATAGTACAAGGGAATTTCATTGTGACAATTCCATATATGTGTACGGTGTACCTTGAAGAAGTTCACCCATCCATTGTATTCCTCTCCCTTTTCCTTTTCTCCCCTCTTTCAAACAGTGTTTGCTGGGTTTCGTTATGCTGCTTTCATATGTATTTAGAGAGTGTACTCCATTCCCTTCACCCCTCAGGATCAAAAGGGCTTTTCTAAGTTGCACATATATTTTCTGCTTAAGAAAACTCAGTGGCTCCTCCTGGCCTAAGGTTAATTGAATGTAAATATAGGAGAGCATGCAATAAAAATGGCAAAGTCAAAACAAAACAACAGCAACAAAACCAAAACCCAAAACAAGCATAAGCTTACAAATTGAAAATAATATAATAATAGAAGTAAAAGTATCCCCTCCCAAAACTTTTTGACTTGGAGCAGCACCATTGTGGTTGTAAGGACAATCGCCTTCCAAAGGGTGGTGAAAAGGAAGCCAAGAAGAACATGATCAGTTCTGTTTCTTTTCTTTTCTTTCTTTCTCGTGTTTTTCTTCTTTTTGTGTATTGGGGTTTGAACTCAGGTCCTCACACTTGCTCAGAATGTGCTCGACCACTTGACCACACCTCCAGCTTGGTTCATTTTCTAAGGAAAATCGATATGACGTGAGAACACCTGCTGTGTTCAATGTAAGAAATATTGGGAACACACTAGTGACGAGAACTCAAGGAACTAAAACTGCACCTGGTGGCCTCATCAATGTAGTACTTAATGTGAGCCTTGTTTATCTTCAGAATCATGAAGCTGTATTCAAAAATTTAAGCTAATTGCTATGCTCAAAAAGTGTTTGGCTAACTTCTATGGCATGTGACAAAATGTGCTCTGTGGTCAAAAAAATAGCAAATCACAATGGAAGCTCATGTTGATGACATGATGGCTGATGCTCTTTGTTCTGTATTGGGTTTACTAAAAACCCACAATTAGACACAGAAGATCTTTTATGCTCGGCACCAGTCGGCCAAATCTGGAGGGTGATGGAGATCATGCCCAGTTGGATGTAGCTGAATGAGAAGTTGGGTAATAAATTGATTCCTGACAGTACTGAAGGGATATGGAAAAGACTTGTCAACCTATTTATTCTTTTCATCATACCTTTATTAGAGAAATGAAAATGCTCAGTTTGAATTGGGAACTCATGGAGTGTCACAGGGAACTTTGTAATTCTGGAACAGCTGCTGGCAATGAGACTGGTGTGAAAGTGGAATGAGCTGACAGAGATGAGTCACCAGTCCAAGAATCTTTCTAAAATTCAGACTGTTAATAGTGATGAGTAAAAAGTCCTATGACTACCCAGAGACATCCCTTAATAACATTTCCTGTGTTAAATTCCTCTACTGCTTACCACAATAATTTTAATAATATGCATTTGTACTTAATTAAAAAAATCTCTAAACAGTCATTATTTACTGACTGCCACAAAGTTTAAGGAGATTAGAATATCCCTCTCCTAACTTTTTCTTTGTGTCTCTAAACTTACATTTTTTCTTTTTGGGTGGTGCTGGGGTTTGAACTCAGGGCCCCACACTTGCTAGGCAGATGTTCTACCACTTGAACCACATCCCCAACCCTCCATCTGCAAATTTTGGAGCTACTATTTTTATAGGGGGAGACTTTATAACATTTATATTCTATATTGCAAATGTAATTAAGTCTTCATTCTTTTCAATAAGTTGGAAACCAAACAGCAATCTTTGCTTTGTTGTGATTATTTAAATATGATTCACTCATAGAACCTATCATTACATTCAATCAATAAAAAGGAAATATTATCCAGTATCATTAAAATCTTACTACTGAGACTCTTAACAGTCAAATGATTTAAGAATTTTTTTTCTAAATGTCCTCTCTCTCTGTCTCTGTCTCTCTCTGTCTGTCTGAGACAGGGTCTCACTATGTAGCCCAGAGTGACTTTGAACTCTTGATTTCTCTGCCTCAACCTCTTGAGTGCTGGGATTACAGGCATGTACCACCATGTCCCTTCTCTTTCTTTTGATTTTATTCTTTCTTGAATCCATGTGAGGTTTTTTCTTTTTTTTGTAAAACTATATTCTGTTTCATTATGCTAGATTACACCTATACTTTTTCATATGCTATACAGACTTGTTTGTTCAAAATTGTTTTTGTTTTGCTCTTATGATTAATAGTCAGACTCACAAAAATAGATTTATTTGCTCAGAACTCAAACACATTGTTCTTCTGTCTTCAGACTGCTGATATGAGTCTGGTTTTATTTTTGTTTTTGTAAGTAGCTTTTCCCTTTTCTTTAGAGGCTTTTTTATGATTTTTCCCTTTATCCTTGGAGTTCTGAATATGGTTTAATATTTAATAGACATTAATATTAATATGATTAAATACATATTAATATTAATACGATCAAATACATATTAATATGATTAAATACATATTAATATTTAATAGATATATCACCTGGATATGTCTAGGTGTGATTTAAAAGAAAGATATATTCCACATAGCCCTTTTGGGACCTGTGATCTGAAGACTCTCCTCTTTCTCCATTACTTTTTATTTCCTGCCTGTGCTTATATTTTTGCTTTCTGGTACCCTTTTAAGCTGACTTTTGAAATTCTTGATTTAGTCTCAGTTTCAGCTTTTCTTATAAGGTGTCATTGTTATATTTCCATACATTCATATAATGTACTTTGATTGTATTCACCCCCTTTTTACGTCCCATCTCTACCTCCTCTTTTTAAAACCTTTATTCAAAATTTTATATGGGTTTCATTATGACCTTTTCATACGTACACATAATGTACTTTGGTCATATTCTCCCCTTACCCTCTCTTTCCCCCTTTTTCCCGCTGGATCTTCCTGACAAAAAGTCCTCCTCCTCCTTCTTCCACACTTCTTTGTATATTCAAAATGAGGAACTTATTACATGTGATTTTCTTCTAAACCCAAACAAAACAACTACTTTACTTTTCTTAAACTTTAAATAACAGAACAATTGTTTCCTATAAATAGCACTGTACCATGCATTATCTGAGTGCAGTTTCAGACACCTGGACCTGATGACTGTAGAGAACTGTCAATGGTACTGTTCCAGAGCTGTTCATGTAGCCAAGGATAAGCTCCAGAAAGACTCAAATCTTGTCTAAGCTTTATGAGGAACAGCGCCTGGGACACAGTGGGTGTCTGACAAATATCTGTTGTAGGATTGATTGGATAGATATTGGTTCGCTTTGGAATGGGGATACTTCTTTAGTTATGTAAGGAGTTATTTGTAGAAAACATGAACTAATTGGCACTGTATTTTTTGTTATTCCATTTGTTTTTATGCTCCTGATAGACTAGTTCCCCAAAGAGCTGCTCACTTGCACATCTCCAAATGGGGCTTTGCCTAATTGGTGCATAGTGGAGTACATACTAATCTTTTTTGAGAACTATTAGGCACAACAGCTATGCAAAATACCAAGTGCACAATATTCATTCCAAGTTGACGCTCAAAACAGGGAAAGTAACAGAACTGATCAGAAGGAAGAATTGAGCAAAATAGCTGTCCTAAATCAAATAAAGTAAGATTTCCTCTATAATGCTTCTTTTTAGCAGAATGTAAAGCCAGAAATATACTTTGTGAAACAAGAAATGCATGTTTTTCTAATTTTTTTTGCAGAAATTATATGAAATTTTAGAAACAAACAAACGAGAAGCTATCAAAGAACTAGGTAAGTAGTTAAAATATTTGGTTTCTTGAAATTATTTCTTATGATCCCATAATTTTAACCAAAGGAAGATAAATTCATGAATGAATTCACTTGCTTGTTCATTCATTCATTCATTCATGTATGCATGCATGCATTCAAATAGTATTTATTGAGCACATTAAGGGGCCAAATATGGGAAAGCAAAGAACAGTAGATCCAGACCCTTACAAAAGTGCAGTGTGGTGGAATGTCTGAAGAAAGTTGGAGGAGTCCTATTAGTTAATGTGGGAGAATGGAAGAAAGGATGGGAGGAGTGCAGAAGTATATTAAGATGGAAAGGTCAGAGTCCTTAAAGTTGCAAGAAAAAGACATATAAAGTCTACCTTTGACAAAAAGTTGTTTTATTTTGTTTTTGTAAGGATACTCCAGAACATAAGGCTGTAAGTGACATTATTTCTTGAACATCTACACTCACTTCACTGTACTTAAAGTATACAAAAAGAACCCAAGGATCTTATGCTAAGAGTCTTAGGTCTACTTTCCTCAAGGCTAGGCTTTTTGTGGGTAGAAGAGCATCTGACTCATGCTCGGGCATATGACAGGCACTTAATAAATGGAAATCATCAGGAAAGAAATAAAGTAAGACCATTTTGTACTTGGAACTGCCTTATAAGATGTCATATGGATTTTGGGGTTTATAGTTTTCAAATTGAAATGGAAAGAATATGGTCTAATGAAAGTAAAAGTTTAGAGACAATAGGTCAAATATTTTGGCACTGTTTTAAAAAACCCAGGACCCACTGTTGGCATTTACATACTGGCAGATTTTTATTTCTGTGCTTTTGAAGAACAGAGGCCTAAGAACTGATGCTTTACATCGTGTTTTAGGTCAGCATGGAGTATTACAAGGTTTTATCTATCCCATCCTGTAAAAGGGAATGCCTGTTTCCATATGGTTACTGCAGCTGACTATGGATGTTTATTTTTATTATATCAGAAACTATAAAGTGCTTTATATGCATATAAATCCTTGTGCTAAGCCTCTCACTTAATCTTTATCATTACTCTATGATGTAAGCACTATTATTATCTTCATTTTATAGATGATGAAACTCAGGCTTAGAGAGGTTAACTTGCCTGTGGCCATATGGCTGGTGATTGGTCAGCCAGATCTGCAGTCCTGGTGTATTTGTCACCAAATCCTATGCTCTAGCTCATTTCTCCCCTTCATTTTACTGGTCAGCTTATTTCAGTGAAAAAAAATGTGTGAGAATCTTCCACATATCAGGTATTGATTGCTCTCAGTGTTAGGATTACAAAGATGAAACATGAAATTTTAATCTTGACTCACAGTCTAGCCCATGACTTCCCATCTTTATTAACGTAGAAAGAATATGTGACTTGATCTCAGACAGACACACCAGACAATGTCCAGGGGCTCTTTCATTCAGTCTTTTATTCATTCAACCAACAAAAATTACATCATATGGAGAATGAGACAGATAAATAAAGATAATAATACAATAATGTGATGAGTTTCATGATAGAGAGATGTAGAAGATGCCATGGGAGTAAACCAGAGTGATTTTTATCTTACATGGTGGGGAAGCTAGTTTTCATTTTTCTCATCTATGCATTGGAGGTGAAAATTCATCCTATCAGCCCCTTGAGTTCTGTGTGAAGCTAAAACAAAAGGATATGGTGTAAATATTTTGAGAATTAATAACCTATTGTAAAATATTAGTTATTATTGTGGTTGTTGCATAGGTTACTTACCAAGTTTAATTTTCCTCAGGACTTATAGAGCATGAGGGTCGTGATGTTGTCATTGCTTTGAAGACTAAACAGGCAATCCAGAATGTGATTGCTAGGGCTCTGAGAAATCTCAATTTCCTTTGGTCTAGAGGCATTATTGATAAGTATGAAGGCATTGAGATGAATAAGGTAATAAAACAATTTTCATTTTGCCTGATTTCATCAGTCCAGCATCACAGCCTGCATTGTTCTTTATCTGAGGGTAATGAGCGAGGTTGATTAGAAAAGTGTTGAACTACAGATTTATCTCTGTAATTGACTGCAGTCTTTGTTCATGCCAGTGACAATCAATGCCAGTGCTGACTGGTACACTACACTAGTCAAAACTACTTAATTGTGGGGCTGGGAGTGTGTCTAAATGTTAGGCAGTTTGCCTAGCATTTGTGAGGCTCTGGATTCTATCCCCAGCAAAAACAAACAAAAAACTACCTGGTTGCAAGTACTGGAAACCAACTAGAGCTAAGTTTAGTAAAGAAAAAGGATTGAGGGGCTTAACCTAGAAGGTAACACACACACACAGGAAATTAATGTGAGTCAACTCCCTGTTTGGCTATCCTTATCTCAACCAGCAAAAACCCTTGTTCCTTCCTATTATTGCTTATACTCTCTCTTCAACAAAATTAGAGATAAGGGCAAAACAGTTTCTGCTGGGTATCGAGGGGGTGGGGGGGAGAGGGAGAGGGTGGAGTGGGTGGTAAGGGAGGGGGTGGGGGCAGGGGGGAAAAATGACCCAAGCCTTGTATGCACATATGAATTAAAAAAAAAAGGACACAGTATCTTACACAACTACAGTGGCCAACCTTCTAGAAGAGACAGTTTCTAGATTGTCCATTTCCTATCAGGATTGCTCTCTGTGGCAACTTCCTTCTCTAGACTTGATAGACTTTTCTACTTTTCCATTTACTGGTGGAGTATGTACTGATTAGTTCCATTGACTGTTGCACTGAGGTGACAGACACATAATGTTTACATGGTGGGAAAGGGACCATTGTGTGTGTGTGTGTGTGTGTGTGTGTGACTCTGTGTCTGTGTGTGTGTGACTCTGTGTCTGTGTGTGTGTATGCATGCATATGTCCACACGTGTTGGTGGGGGTCAGGGAAGGAAGATTTTGGAGAGAAAAGGAGCAAGGAAATTTGCCTAGTCAGTTAGCTAATAAATGAATTTTTGAAAAATTATAAATGTACTTACAAAAAATTAGGAACATACAACAAAGGAGAAAAACATTTAGTTCTACCATTCTATCACATCTACTGTGTTCTTTCTATTCCTGTGTAAGAATCTGCCTCTTAGCATACACCAGAAAAATGAATGCTCTGATTCATCATTTTTTCTGTTTCTGTTGCCCATTGTTACACTGCTCCTGGATGTTCCATGCTTTTCCTTGACACTGCAGCTTCCAGCCATGGACCACCATGCACTAGGCTTCTCGTCATTTCAGGGACTCAGCCCTCTCTCCAAAGCCTCAGAGGACAAATGGATGTGGATAGGCCCACTTTCTCCTTCAGGGCTCTCTTTAGTTTCTATAGCATTACAGGAAAGGACTAAATATATAATATGATTATTCTTTAATGTCTGTTTGAGGGAAGAAAAAGGCTATTTTATTGTATTCCTCAAGTTACACCTCTGACATGCTGTGTTTTGTATACTACTATTTTCATTGATCATTTTTTGAAGTCAGTGTAATACAATTGAATGCTTGATGCCCATTAATTAAGATAAAGAAATAGTAATCTGAAGAGACAGACTTTTTTTCCCTACAAGTTTGTTTAGAAAGGTAATGGATAAATCAATTATTCAATAGTCACTTACTGAATGCCTACTCATTGCCTAATTATCAGCAAAGGAGATATTATTACATATTCTAGGTCATAAGGAGATAGGAAAATTTATTCAATCCAACTGAATAAATATATGTTGGAAATCTAATAAGTACCATGGATGCTTTGAGACTGGGATACTTAACGAATACAACACTGACTCCAAAGTCTATGGATCTTCCTTGATCTTTCATGAAGTCATTTATTCATCCAGCCAACAACATTTATTATTTATGGAGGGTAAGACAGATAAGTAAAAATAATAACACTACAATGCAATGAGTCCCATATGAGAGCTAGGCAATACCATGGGAATAAGGGAAATAGGGTGATTTTCTCTTACTTTATGAGGGAACCAAAGAAGGTTTCTTGGTTTCCAGTCACAGGCTGGAACTACACCCACTCAAATTACAGGGATTTAGAGAAGTAAATCATACACATGAAAAAAATTGAGGGAACTGGCAATAGGTAATCAATATGGAATTTAGAAAATTCTAAAAGTGACATGTTCAATTTGAGTTAAATCAGTGAAAATAATAAAGGGAAGAGAATAGGGACAAAAAGTTAGAACATAACATATAGAGTGAGAGAGGGTATGGGTCAAAACTCAAGAATAGATTTGTATAGCAGTATTTTATATAGATTTTTTTAGTTTTTGCCTATTCATTTTTGTTATGAGATCTGATCACCATTATTTTGATTGTTATTTTAGGTACTTCTTACAAAAATAAAAGCACTGAATAGCTTTCCAATGGCAATCCCACCCCCTACTCCTGACAAATATCTTCCTTGCATCGTTTGGATGGAAAATAAAGATATTCTCATTGACTTCTTCAGGGTAAAGATCCTGTCTTCTGTTATGACTCAGAGGTTGCATTTAAATTTGTTTCCCATTTTTTCCACTACCTTATGGAATATTAGCAGAGAAATACATCTAAAACTTGAATTGTATACTGGCCAACCCAGGGAAAACCAAAATGGAGACCCAGAAGAATAGATTCCTTTTTGAGACTGAAGGGCAAAGATATTTTTCACAATGACTTATCTACTTAAAATGAGCTATCTATGTTTCCTGATTATTACCAGTTCCATTGTATTTTATGCTGCAGTGTTCTGTACTTCCAGATGCATACTCTGGAAGAAACTTATTTTTGTAACAAGGATCACAAATTTAAATTACTGCACAGGTCAGGCAGATAATATAAAAGTAAAACCAGATGGTAGAGTGCGATAGGGAACAGTGTATCTCAAGTATATCCAGAGTTCATCCTCTGTCTAAAGTTAGTTGAGTTTTGATATAGCAATTTGTATCCTTTCAATAAATATCTATTTAATATCCCATATGTACCAAATGACTGTTCTAGGTTTTGGGTTATGGAGATGAACAAAACAGGTGAGGTCCCACTTTAGAAGACCTTTTATTACATGGATGGAGATAGAGGAAAGAGAATATGATGGAGCAGTTATTTTATATGCGTTGGGTCAGGGAAGGCTACTCTAATAAGATGGCATTTAAAGAGAAACAGAAGGAAATGGGCCATGTACATGTCTTGGAGAAGAACATTTCGGGCAAAGGAAATAATAATTGCAAGGCCCTGAGGTGGAGTGTGCCTGATGAATTCAAGGAGCATCAAAGAGGTCCCTGTGGAAGGAGTGGTGATGGAGGGAGGAGAGGAATTGGAGCAGCTGCAGTGAGCCTGGATGGGTAGAACTCTGTAGGACACTGTAAGGATTTTGGCATTTACTCTGAGTTAAATAGAAAGTGATTGGAAAGTTTTGAGCAGAGAAGTGACATGATCTTAGATCAGAATAATGACTATGCTCCTATGTTCAGAATAGGCTCTCAGAGGTCAAAGGAAAGTCAGGAAGACCAGTTAGGAGGCAATTATAATAAAGGTGGTTTGGACTAGTGAGAGTGGTGAGAAGTGGTAGAGTATATACTTTGAAGATAGAGCTGATAGATGCTGATGGAGGGAGGGAGGAAGAGGAAGGAACAGAGAGAGAGTGAGAAAAGAGAGAGAGAGAGAGAGAGAGAGAGAGAGAGAGAGAGAGAGAGAGAGAGAGAGAGAGGGAGAGAGAGAGAGAGAAATTCCTGGGATTTTATTCTGAAAATAGAATGGGATTTCCACTTACTGAGATGGGGAAAGAGAAGATTTATATGGCAGGGGGCAAAAATTTGATTCTAGATAAGTTAAGTTTAAGAAAGTTGTTAAACATTCAAGTGAGGATGTCAAGTAGGCAATTGGATAGACTGGTATTTAGACCAAGATGGAGATGGACATTTTGGAATTGTAAGGATAGTGATAATATTTAAGGTCTTAAGATTTGGTAAGATCACCTAAGGAATAAGTATGGATAGAGAAAATATAATCAAGGATTGAATCCTGAGGTATCCAACATTTATAGGTGGGGAGTTGAGGAGGAATTGGCAATCTTTGGACAGAAGGGAAACTAAAAGTGAGTGGTATCTCCTTTCAAAGAAAATGTGATCAACTATGTGAAATGAGTCTAAGAGATCAAGCAAAACTAAGACTGAAAATGACTATCAGATTTAATAATGTTCTTTTTCTAAGAGAACCCATAAATCTGAATTTTATATGAAATTCACAAACTAAAAAATTGGCAATCAATTTAAAAAATATTGTATAGTTCAAATGTATGTATATATATATATATATATATATATATATATATATATATATGCTAGACATGACCATGGACTACCAATTTGTAGCTTTGGTCTTAAATGGCTACTGTATTATAAGGTTTGTAGCTTGTTGATACTTCTGTTACTGGAATCAGGAAAACTGGGACAATGAGTCAATGAGTAGTGCTTGCTTTGTTGTATAATACAAACTTGGTTGTATTATACCTCATGATACAGGCAGGTAAGACATAGGCATCTATTTGTCTATAATAAGGATGCTTTCTTTGTTTTCTAGAAATACAGAAATCTGAGTAGGGTTCTAGTGCGTTTTGAATATCTGATTTCTTTTATGCTATGCTAATGTTTACTTTAGGGCAATATTTTAAATTTTTTCCTTTGAGTTTAATTTTAAAATTTTGTTAAATTAAGACTCTTTTGGTTCAAAGTAACAGAAACCTACTTAGACTAGTTTAAGCAAAGGGAAAGTTTACAAAAGATATTTTGGTGGTATACAGAAGTTAAGAAATAGTTGACAGTTTTAGCTTGATCTGCTATAATGAAGTACCACAGATGGTGTGTCTTATGAACAACAGAAATTTATTTCTTACAGTTTTGGAAGTTGGGAAGTCCCAGATCAAGTCACAGGCAGATCTGGCATCTGGTCAGAATCTGTATCCTGGTTCATAAATGACTGTCTTCTTGCTGTATCCTCATTAAGCAAGGGGCCAGAGAGTCCTTCTTTCACAAGGACTCTAATCTCACACATGAGGGCTTCACCCTCATGACCTAATCATTCCCTTAAGGCCCTGTATCCTAATACAATCACATTGGGAGTTAAGATTTCAATAGATGAATTCCAGGGAGATACAAACATACAGTCCATAACATTAAACAACTGGGGGCAGGGGAGGGTGGGCAACCAGGCTAGCCCTGGAATATCAGTTATAGGGATTTGTGGACCCTTTCTCTAGTGCTTAGCTATGATGATTTGGTTATCAACTCTTAGACTCTTAGTCTAAGAGTCTGTTTGGACTCTTGAGAGAGCAGTTCAGTTGACTTACCTTTAATTAGTTGGAAGAGCACAAGTATATCAGTGAAGAACCCTCATGGGCTCTTTTGGAAACACAGATCTCAAATAAGTGGGACTAGGGCAGGCTGGAACTGGGAAGAAGGTATTTGGAATGTATTTATTACAATTTGCACCCTGTAGAGTTTTTTTTAAATCCAATTTTAAGATAAAATTAGAATTTGATTTCTTATAGGCAATAATTTTCATAAGTAATTAATTGACCACCTAACAGTGAGTTTGGAGAAATGATGAAAACAATGAGAAGGTAGCTTCATAAATTAATGATTCACAAACATCTGATGTGAATGTACAACCCAGGTACAACCTTCTTCCACTCCTTCACTTGTCATACTGATGCAGAGCTGTTGGACTTTACCCACTTAGATATTTCTCACACTTTAAGTGGCTCTTTTCTGTAATATACTGCCATTTAAATCAGATTTCATGAGGGCAAAAATCTAATGAATTGGAAGTGCATGGGTATTATTTCATTAGGGATAATTGAAATCCACATAGTGAAACAGAACAAATGCCTTGTTGTGGACTGTAATTTTAATCTTGGTCTCATACTAGAAAAACAATAGTAAAGCTAATTTTCTGTGCTCCTCCTTCTTTCATCTCTCTACTGGTAGTTAATTAAAAAGGAAGTAGTCTGCTGGAGGCTTGGCTCAAGTGTAGAATTCCTGTCTAGCAAGCAAAAAGTTCTAAGTTCAAACCCCAGTACTACCAAAAAAAAAAAATAGGGTACTAGTCTGTAAAGATAAGCAGGAATACAGTGGTAGAAAAATCAGGTCTGAATAATAAATAAGCAGAATAATTGGACTTAAGCAAACCTTTGTTTTCAAATTGTAACATTATCAATGTTTATTTCAACACTGACAAACCATTCAGAAGTACAGAAGTGAGAGTCATTTTCTCCCTTACCCCACACTTTGGGATAGCCACCACGAATGACTTGGAAGTATGTTTCATGCACCTATTTCTAAAATGCCATTCTTTCACCATAATTCTCCTGTTAAAAACCCTTCAATGGCTCTTATTTTCGAAAAAGTCCAAGCTTTTTAGTATGAATATGAGACTTGTCCAGACCTGTCCAGACACTGGTCCACCTCTCAAATCTTGTCTCCATCAGAGATACAGTATGTCTCTGTATCAATTTTGCCTTAGTGGGACTCTTCTTCATAAAAATATATAAAACATTGTACTTTATGTCTGTGTTAGTATAAAATAAATATATTAAAACATATTCTCCATCTAAAAGTTCTTTTCTCCTTTTGATTTTAAAAGGAATTCAGACATTGTTGTGAGTTCCTAAAAGTATTGTAGACCCTAGACACAGTGTCAACTGATACCTCATGCATAGTTCAGCCCTGGACTCTATCCCTTTCTGCTTGAGACATCAAATCTTTTGCAGTTAGCCTCAGACATTTGGTTTACTTCTGGGTCTTTTAATATACTGAATCTTCTGCCCTAAATGGTCTTTATCTTATTCTGCCATCTGGGTCTCTTCTTTCAGGTCTCAACTTAGTTGTTGCTTCCCTGATGGTAAAGACCTCACTCAACAACCAAGACAAGGTCCTTTGGCCTTTCTGCACACCCACAGTGTCCCATCCCTCTCTCTCTCTTTTTAAAATAATCATCACATTTTATTATATATATCTATCCAACCTAACTAATAGATCTTCTGGATGCAGGGAATCTGTCTAGCTTACCATTGTATCCCAAATCCCAAATGAGGGCTAAAAATGTTTTTATTCATTAATTTACTCATTCCATAAACATTTATTCAGTGTTTATATAATTTGCTATACTTGGTACTAATCACATGGTCTATCATTTGTTGGCTTGTCTCTTTATTTCTAAAAGTTAATGTGGTATGTGTCTACTTGCTATAATTTCTTAATAAATCAATAATATAGGTTGTATTTTTACTTAAAAACCATTTTAACTTTAAAATCTTATTTTGTTTAGAAAAATAAATTATTAGGCTTTTGTGCCAAGTCTTTTCGTTTCTTTCTTTCTTTTTTATCTATTTAGGAAAGAACCAAACTTGCTCATTTTGACTATGGAGATGTCATTTGCAGAGAAGGTGAAATGCCACAAGGAATCTTCCTAATTATTTCAGGAATGGCAAGTGTAAGGAACTTGATTTTTTACTTAAAATGTATTTTGAAATATATAATTCTAACATAAGGAGAATTTTAGGAACTGAAAAAATTTAAATTTTTGAATCTCTTTTCCAAATGAAACAATTTTTGTTCAGAGTGAGCACTATAACTGAGACAGAGTGATCACATTCAACACCAGAATGTGCTTTCCATTTTACATACTGCTATTGGGGTCATTGTTTACTCTTCCCAACAATCCTGGGAGGAAGTAGTGGTTTTCAAGATGTTCAGACCAGAAAACCAATACTTGGAGCAGTTTAAATTACTCATTTAAAGGAAATGAGAGTTGAAGAATGAGGGGGTGAGTTGCAAAGTCAGATCCTTACAGAGGTCATGTTGGATGAGGATCAAAACTACAACTTTTAATATGACCAATGGGAAGCTTTTGTTGACTAGTGAGAAAGAGTCCAGTAGAATGACTGTGGCAAGAATCCTCTGTATCTTCCATACTAGTGTTTTAGTATCTGAATGTAAAGGTGAGCCCTAGTCCCTTCTGTTTATAATGTTATCGGGATTGTGGATGTCTCCAAATGTTTTTTTGGCTTCATATAAATATCTGGTTTGGTTTTGAATTGGTGAATTTGTTGTTACTGAGTTATAACTCCAGATCACTGGTGATAATGCACAACAACCCAGTCCTATGAGAGCAGGAACAATAATTTGACAGAAAGACTTCAGGTGATTAAAAACCTTCAGCCAATGACTTGACCTCAGATGAGCAATTGTCAATGTATAAAGACAACAAATATGTAAAAACAAGGCTACATGACATCTCAAAAAGTCAGTAATCATACAATTAAGATTTGATGACAGTGAAATGCATGAAATCTCAAATACTGAACTCAAAAGAAAGATGATAAAAATGATTAATGAAATTGAAGAAGACATATATAAACACCATGATTAATTAAAAACAAATACAAATTAATAGCTAAATGAATACAAAGAAGATACAAATAAATATCTGAAGAAAATCAGGAAGACAAAGCAAAATATGAAAGAGGAATTTAATAAAGATATAGAAATAATGAAAAAAATCAAGTTAAAATTTTTGAAATGAAAAGCTCTGTAAATCAAAAACAAATAGACAAAACACATTTGAAGCCTGTCCAGTAGAATGGATCAAATTCAAGGTAGAATATCAGTACATGAAGACAAGTTAGATGTATTAGAAAACTAAGATGAAGATAAAGAAAAAAAAAGAATAAGTATGAATGACATGTATGATCTCTGAGAGACCACTAAAACACCAAACCTATGAAACATGGGTAGAGGAGAAGGAAAAGAGGTATGAAATAAAGCCATAGAAAACATGTCCAATAAAATTATAGCAGAAAACTTCCCAAATCATGAGAAAGAGATGACTATTCACACTCAGGAGGCTTTTATGACTCCAAACAGTTAAGACCAGAACAAAATCTCCTCATGTCATAGTATATTTAAAATATTAAATACACAGAAAAAAGAAAGAATATTGAAATCTGCAAGAGAGAAACAATAAGTCACACCAGAATAACAGCAATTTCTTAGTAGAAACTTTAAAAGCAAGGAGGGCATGGAATGATCTATTTCATGTCCTGAAAGAAAGGAACTGCCAACCTAGATTACTGTACCTAACAATCTATCCTTTATAATTGAAGGAGAAATAAAAATCTTCCATGATAAACAAAAAACTAAAGCAATTCATGACCACTAAGCCAGTGCTGCAAAATACTTAAAGACTCCCTACTCACAGAGGAGGAGGAGAAAAGCACTACGAAAGCGATTATGGAAAAGAAAAAATGTCACAAATAAGTAGCTAAGAAAATGAAGAGTAGGGAAGAATCAAACACTAAAAAACAACAAAATGGAGATTCCAAGATGGCAACTAGAGGGAGGAAGCAGAAAGCGTGCTTCCTAAAGTAAAATCTTGGAGAGATGCTGGAGATACACCTTACAGGAAAAACCACCAACAAGAGGCAAAACTTTGACTCCTCCACACCCCCACCCCACGCATAGCATCTTCACTTCATGTTAAACAGAGAAACCAGAGGGGTCCTGCACTGCTGCCAGATGCCAGCTCCCAGACTGCTTGGGAAGACGAAGGCCACAAGGTGAGCTAAGCAGTATGTGGTACTCCCACAGACAACCCTGGGCCAGATCAGTGTAGCCCCCTGGACAGACCGACCCCACTCAGGAAAACAAGAAAAAAAACCGAATAATAAGCAACAACAACAAAAAAGACACATAGCAAAGAGGGCGGGGTGCTGAGTACCGAGAGGGAGGGAGGGGCAATCCCTCACAGAACTATAAATAAACGAGCCAGCTGGAGAAGGCTGGAGCAGCGGCACACGCCCAACAACCAGGAGCAGGAAAGCTTGTAAAAGTGGCGGTGGGAGGAAAACTCCACAGGAGAAGGGGAAAGACCCACTTCGCACGTGAGCTGTAAACAAACACACCGGTCTGAGAAGGCAGGTGCAGTGTCACCTCCCCCAGTGTACTTGGAAAGGGGAAAGCTTGTAGCAGTGGAGGTTGCACCCAGGAGAACTCTTAAGTAAACAAAGCCTGAGGGGCCAGGTGAGTGTTAAGCTCACTGCTGAGATCTGCATAAATAAAGCCTCCAGCAACAGCAGGCTGACAACAGAGGGCAGGTGAGCTGCAGCCTCAGATAGACATTCACAAAGCTGTATCCAGACTCTTTTTTTTGTTTGTTTCTCTCTTCCTTTGATGAGACAACAACCAAACTACACCCACATGCTGAAAAACTTACTGAAACTGTATTGCATTTGAAATTGGGACACTTTGTGGTGTTTATTTTTGTTTTGTTTTTGGTTTTTTGTTTTTTTTGTTTGTTATTTCCCTTTTGATGAGACAACGAGAGAACTACATCTTAGACACCATCTCCAGGATTGCAGGCTGAGGGACTAACAACAAAATTATTAAGACTGAAACTTTATTCCATTTGAACTTGGAGATTTTTAAAAAAAATTTATTTTATCTTTCAATCCTCTCTCTGTCTCTCTAATACCTGCTTAGCTTACTGTTGATTAGTACACTATCTCTCCCTGTTTATATCTTTGAAACTTTTTGTTTGTTTGTTTTGTTTTTTACTTGTTTGTTTATTTGTTTTTCCCTTTTCCTTTACCTTCTTTGTTTTCCCTCTCCTCTCACCCTTCCATAAATATCACCATTGTTATTATTACAAGCTAGAAAATAATTAATTGCACACAGCACAGGGACAATAACAACACCAAGGGCAATGATGGGAAGACAGAAAAAACAGGGAAAACAGTTTCCCCAGAGCAAAACATTAATACAGGAACAAGAGGGAAATGAAGAAAACACATACTCAGATCCAGATTCCAAAAAAATGAAGATAAACTATGCCAAAGAACCCAATGAAGCCCACAAGAATAATCTAAAAGAAGAAATACTATGGGTAATCAATGAGAACTTTATAGAGATGATACTGGATATGGTCAACCAAAATGTACAGGAGACACTCAAGAAATTCCAAGACAACAAAAATAGAGAATTTGAAATAGCACAAGAAGAAATAAAAAAAAATAGAAGCACTGTATAAACACCAAATTGAAACAGAGAACACAATTAATAAAGAGATAAATGAACTCAGGACAAAAATAGACAACATTAAAGAGGAAGTGACTCAGGATATGGAAAACCTCAGAAAAAAGAATGAAACAGAATTGCAAAACAAAATGGAAGGCCAATCCAGCAGAATAGAACAAACAGAAGACAGAATCTCAGAACTCAAATATGAAATGGTAATTAAAGGAAAAACTGAATTAAACAACTCAAGACCTGTGAAAAGAAAATGCAAGAACTCACGGACTCCATCAAAAGACCAAACCTGAGAATCATGGGCATTGAAGAAGGAGAAGAGGTGCAAGCAAAGGGAATGCATAATATAGTCAACAAAATAATAACAGAAAATTTCCCAAATCTAGAGAAATCTATTCCCATACAGATGCAACAGGCCTCCAGAACACCAAAAAGACCAGACCAAAATAGAACTGCCCCACAGCATATTATCATTAAAACAACAAGTACAGAGACCCAAGAAAGAATACTGAAAGTTGTAAGAGAAAAAACAAATAACATACAAAGGTAAACCCATCAAAATCACAGCAGATTTCTCAACAGAAACATTAAAAGCAAGAACTTGGGGTGAGATCTTCCAGGCACTGAATGAAAATAACTTCAACCCTAGGATACTCTACCCAGCAAAACTATCATTCAAAATAGATGGAGCAATAAAAGTCTGCCACGATAAGCAGAAACTAAAACAATATGTGACCACAAAGCCACCACTACAAAAGATTCTTCAAGGGATTCTGCACACAGAAAGTACAGAACAAACCATGAAAGGGCAGGCAGCACCAAACTACCAAAAAAGAACAAGCAAGAAAGTAGAGAGTAACCTCGATCTAGGTACACACAATCAAACCTTCAAACAACTAAGAGAACTGACAGGAATCACCACATACTTATCAGTACTAACACTTAATGTTAATGGACTTAATTCCCCCATCAAAAGGAATGGTTTGATGAACTGGATTATAAAGGAAGATCCAACAATTTGTTGCTTACAGGAAACTTATCTCACCAACAGAAATAACCATAGGCTTAGGATGAAAGGCTGGAAGAAGATTTACCAAGCCAATGGCCCCCAAAAACAGGCAGGAGTAGCAATACTTATCTCTGACAAAGTAGACTTCAAACCTACATTGATAAAACGAGATAAAGAAGGACATTCCATACTAATAAAAGTGGAAATAGACCAGAAGGAAATAACAATCATCAACCTATATGCACCCAATGTCAATGCACCCAATTTAATCAAACATACCCTGAAGGACCTAAAAGCATATGGTAACTCCAACACAGTGGTCGTGGAAGACTTTAACACCCCATTATCATCAATAGATAGGTCATCCAAACAAAAAATCAATAAAGAAATCCTAGATC